ACAAATATCTGTACTTTCTACTCCTTATATTTTTTTAAATTGGCTCGTTACTTTAGTTTTGAATCATTTCAATGGAGTTACCGTTATTATTTTTCACGTCATCAATACCAAATTCAATCTAATTGGATGGGAATCTACGTTGCATTTGACGCACCACTACAAGATGAATCGACAGATTCGGCGGTATTCATTGGCGGCAAATCATTGCAGCTTGGTGGCGGTGGCGTTAGCATAGTAGCATGGACGACGAGATGATTGAAAATGAACACAACGGAGATCTAGTCCTATTGGCAGACATCCATTTAAAATGTAGGCAACGGCATGTAAAAAGTGGTTTCTACTTTTACTTTTATACTTTAAGTAAATTTACAAGCCTGTACTTTGTTACTTTTACTTGAGTAAAGAAGTTTAATCAGTACTTCCACTTTTACCAGAGTATTTTTTAACACAAGTATCTGTACTTTTACTCAAGTACAGAAAGTGAGTACTTTTGCCATCTCTGTGCTTATGAGGGACAATTCAGGACAGACGCTGCTTTTTCAGCAGTGATTTTTTGAATCAGTTTGACAGTGTTTATTTACATCATGCTCCCCTCCATATCATATTAAAAAATATATTTGCAAAACTTCACTAAAATAACTCCCTGAGAGTTCACCTTTCACTGGACTTACCCAGTTATAAACTGTTCCACATATTCTGTGGCGCTTGTGCTGTCTTTTCTTTAAATGTAGCTTCCATCATATTTTGCATTAGAATCTTTTACCTGTTCTGTTTTAAAAACATTTTATGCAGCTGGTTCACTCTACCTACATCAACCATGTATTTACAAATTAGACTCACATCTGTCTTCTAATTGCCCAAACCATTAAATCAATTCATTTATGAGAAAATTTTAAGAAAATAGTTTTTTAACTACATTTGTAATTAAAAATTCTGAATAATTGAACTTAGATTAGCTTTTTGTATAATTTGTGACACCTGCATCAAATATGATACACTTAATAGGTCTTAATGGGTTAGGGTTCCCATCTCTGGGGCAGTTGAAACATATCATCAATCAATTCAGTTTACATAGCAACTTATAATTTTTGCCTTAATCAATCTTGTAATTCTTTACTATCAAAAAGTTTTTTAAACTGCAATTAAATGTCTTCAGCTCAACCCAGATGCTGCAGCCAGAGTTCTGATGAAAATGAAAAAGAGAGATCATATCTCTCCTATCCTGGCTTCTCTTCATTGGCTTCCTGTTAAATCCAGAATAGAATTTAAAATCCTCCTCCTCACATATAAAACCTTAAATAACCAAGCTCCATCTGATATCAGAGATCTGATTGTTCCTTATGTTCCTAACAGAGCACTTCGCTCTCAATCTGCAGGTTTACTAGTGGTTCCTAGAACTTCTAAAAGTAGAATGGGAGGCAGATCTTTTAGTTATCAGGCTCCTCTCCTGTGGAACCAACTACCAGTTTTAAACCCACTTTTAAGGTTTAAACTTTACTTTTTTTTAAAGCTTACAGTTAGAGTGGCTCAGGTTATCCTGAGCTATCTCTATAGTTCTGCTGCTATAGGCTTAGACTGCTGGAGGACATAGGGACCCTTTTTTCATCATTCTGTTTCATTCTATCTTTATTGCCCCATTCTGTAGTATTTGTTCTGCTTTTTTCTCATCATAGTAGCTTCATCTGGTCTGTTCCTGTTCTGCAGTGACATCATCCTGGAGAGAAATATCAGCTGTGCTGCTGCCATCTGCACCTTTGTTTATAGGTTTTGGAGATCGCCCTGTTTTTGAATGTAGCCCGGTTTCTCTGACTGTGACTAGCAGAATTGTCATAGAGCTTGTAACTGTATGTCTGCTTGTGTCTCTTAAACCCTAGTCGACCTCAGCAGATGGCAGCTCACACTGAGCCTGGTTCTGCTGGAGGTTTCTTCATGTTAAAATTAGGCTTTCCTCTCCACTATCACTGTATGCATGCTTGATGTTAGGGATTGCTGAACAGTCAACGACAAAATGGAAGCAATAATCGTTGCTGCACACATCCATGAGGAGCATATATTGCAAGTTAAAGACTGGAGCCAATCAACTGGTTTTGCTTACCTATCTGACAGCTCTATCTTAGTGCACTAAGATGACATGTGCTGTGAAGTGGCGCAGGGTTCTTATATATATATATATATATATATATATATATATATATATATATATATAAATGTGGTATGACGCACACAAATAGTACTGACACATAGGACGGAGTTAGGAAGAGTAAGCAGGATGCTTCCTAGCACCTAGCATTGGGACCTGCTGATGTTGCTAGGCACCCATAGGAGCTACACAGTTGCCCATAATCCTTTTGGTTGACAGAACTTACAGGCAGGCCCAGCCGACCTCACAGAGTTTAAGGCCCCGTCCACACGAAGTCCAAACGAACACGAAACGCTAATATTTTCCAGAACGTTTGTCGTAAAGACGGAGACGTAAAATAAATGTGATCGTCCACACTTATGCATGAAAACGCTGCAAAATGTATGCCAGGCCTGTAAGTGGCGCTGTGGTGCCAAAGCAAAAATAGGCGACGAAATGTTGGGCATGCGCAGTAATATTTATACATGGTTGCCCTGCGGGTCCATTTTCGTGGATCAGTCAAATTCAGGTGCTGAACTATGTGGTCGATATTGCTCTGTTCTTCCTGGAGATATTCCAGAAGAAGAAGATTCTGTTGTAAGCCTGACAGCAGGGTGAGTAGCATGAGCAGCAACCATTCAACACAGTACGGCGCCATTGTTGTTGTGATACTGTGTCGCGCATGCGTGTTTAGAGGCGACGCTACGACGCATGCGTGTAAAAAAAAAAAATGCGGTTAGAGCTTAAAGATGGAAACGTGAAAACGGCGTTTCAAAATCTTTCCACTCTGAAGGCTGAATAAAAAAAAGATCGTTTACAGACCCCCGAAACGCCGGCTTCGTAGGGATGAGAGGCTGGTTTGGTGAAAAACTTGTGCGTTTAGGCCAGGGTTTGACTTCGTGTGGACGGGGCCTAAGAAAAATAAATGATTTCCTCTCATGTTCTCTGTATGACACACCCCAATGTTCACATTTACAGATGTTTTGGTTTTTATAAGGGAGAGTTTAATCCATTCACTACATTTTGGTAACTTTTGCTTTTTACATTTTTTTTCCATAAGGCTGTGGTGCAAATTTGACCGGCATCATCATGTATATTTCTGTCCTGACAAAAAATCCTTAAGGATAAAAGCTGTCGTGATTCAGCTCAGCAATCTAAGCTGTTTTCCTACCCTGGATAGAGTTCTTACTGTCGGGCCTGCAAAAGGTGAAGGAAAGGAAATATGAGCTGCAATTTTAGGTGTTCAGTTCAAGTTGTTTTTTTCAGTATTGCCAAAATTCACCAGCAGTTCCCGTTTAAACCAGTGGGGGCAACAGTGATACTTTCAAGTAGAATTTAATCACTTTCTATATGATTGATTGATTAATTGATTGATTTTATCTCAAAGAGGAAAAATGTACTTTTTACATCAGCTCAAATAGTCAAAGAAAAAGAATGTGCCAAAGGAAGAAGAGATGCATGGGATATATATAGTATATACATTGTGTCCACATATGGCATCTCTTTGTTTTTTATCTGGTGTCTTTAGCTGTTAGTTTATTAACCATAAACTCATAACAAAAATGCATTTGTTAATTGTTCACATCAGTATATACAAAGGATCCATGTTTCTTGAGAGCTTGCTTTTGTATAAAAGTTATATGCCTCTGAGGACCTCTAATTTAAAAGCAACTGCTTGACACATTCCATGCATGCATGACCCTAAATGGTTTATTTAGGCCCCGTCCACACGAAGCCAAACCCTGGCCTAAACGCACAAATTTTTCACCAAACCAGCCTCTCATCCACACGAAGCCGGCGTTTCGGGGGTCTGTAAACGATCTTTTTTTTATTCAGCCTTCAGAGTGGGAAGATTTCGAAACGCCGTTTTCGCGTTTCCATCTTTACGCTCTAACCACTTTTTTTTTTTTTACACGCATGCGTCATAGCGTCGCCTCTAAACACGCATGCGCGCCACAGTATCAAAACAACAATGGCGCCGTTGCTGCTAATGCTACTCACCCTGCTGTCGGGCTTACAACAGAATCTTCTTCTTCTGGAATATCTCCAGGAAGAACAGAGCAATATCGACCACATAGTTCAGCACCTGAATTTGACTGAACCACGAAAATGGACCCGCAGGGCAACCATGTATAAATATTAGTGCGCATGCCCAACATTTCGTCGCCTATTTTTGCTTTGGCACCACAGCGCCACTTACAGGCCTGGCATACATTTTGCAGTGTTTTCATGCATTCATGTGGACGATCACATTTATTTTACGTCTCCGTCTTTACGGCAAACGTTTTGGAAAATATCAGCGTTTCGTGTTCGTTTTGACTTCGTGTGGACGGGGCCTTAGATGCCATCCATGTATAAATATCTGTGTAGATCTTTGTGAAAATGAAGGACCTTTTTGTCCACCCCTCAGTCATAGGGCCCTACCTGGGGTGCACTATGAACATGTTCTGGCTCCGCCACTGGTTGTTACCATGATGCTGTGGTATTTTTCTCCATGGCAACGCTGAACAGGTCCCCTCTGACCAAAAAATGATCTCAGAAGAGTTTTCAGATTATAGCCGGGTTAAATCAGATGAGATAAGTTAGCACACATTTCCCCATCAGCCTTACCTGAGAGCTGACAAGCCTAAAAAACCTATGGCAGCTATGGAGAAGGGGAGTTGAGGAGGGTGGGTTTGGGTGTCTGTGCGCCTCTCCTCTTCCTGGGTACCTGTCACTGATGAGGAGCCAAGGAGAAGCTTCAGCTTGGAGCTGTCATCAGCCTCTCTCCATCACCCCCCCTTCTATCTGTGCGTCCGTCTCTCTGCATGTGTGTGTTCAGAGTTGGTGTGCGTGAGTCATAAGCAGCCAGTGAGTGACTTCATTGTGTTTCTGCAGGTTTTTTGGCTCTGCAGGTGTTTGAACTGGACCAGACGGACCCGGGATGCAGGCGCCGCCGAGACAGTCGCCCCCTCTCCCGGACTGACAGGCCAATCGCAAGCCACCGTTTGCCCTGCATCCATCCACACTCTCCTCTCTCTCTCTTCCTCCCTCCTCCTCCTCCTCCTCTCTCTCTTCAGTTTCATTCCTCAGCGCTCTGTTCGTGCATCCCCTCCTCCTCCTCCTCCTCACACCTTTTGGTCAGAAGAGGAAGAGCAAGCCCAGCCCAGGGAGAGACGCTGAGAGGATGAAACTCTGACACGCCGGCAGACCACAGGGAAACAAGAGCACAACTGTGAGTACAGCAGTCCTTTCACCTCTCACTCAGGCTTAACGCTGTCACACACACTTTGTGTCGCACACACGGTGCGCGTGCGTATGTGTGTGCGTGCGCGTCTGGCGCTTTCACTTCAAACACTCCGCTGACTTTCCCTCCACGCGCTCACCATCCATCCTCTGCTCAAGTGTCTTTGTCTTTTTTTATTTCCAGGCAGAAATAGAATCAAAGAAGTGATTCTTTCTTTTAGTCTCTTTATGCGCTCAGCCTAGTTTATTTATTTCTGTTTTTCTCACCACAATAAAACTGCAAACAGTCCAGAAGAAAACTCTTAACCAATACTTTTTTTAAAGCCCCATTGTGTTTAAAAAGTCAACCTTGGATATTTATGATTGTGTTTATTTATTTATCTTAAATAGAAGGTCAGGTGAAATGTGTCCCCTGCCTGCTTTTGTCTGTTGTTTTTGGCCATAAAGGAATGTGGCATCACCACATGAGGGGAAGCGTGTCTGTTTTTATCTCCTCTTTTAAACCTACAAGCTGCTGTAACCAATAGATGTCTGAGGGGGTAAAGGGGGGGTTTAAAAAAAAGAGAAAAAGGAGGGGGGGCGTACTTTCTTCTCAATGGCAGAAGCCCTCCTGAGCCATCCCCGCTGCTCTGAGGGGAGGGAGGGTGAGGAGAGGGACAGCATCCCTGCTCTGCTCCGTTTGCATCAGACTGTTTTTCTGATTATGTTCCCAGTTCATCTCTGAAGAGCGGCTAGTAAAACACGACAGGCGCTCAGACGCACAGCAGATCCGAGCAGAGGACACAGATTACTTCTGCTCGGCACTTGTCATCAGCTCTGGCCGGTAATGCTGCCAATGCATTGATTTAAAGACCTCCCATTGCCCCCCCATTACATGTGGAAAGCCCTGGATGTTGAGCAGCAACAACCTGATGAGCAAATGTAGGGAAAAGGATAAACACATATACATTAAACACCCTGCAGTATATTAGATTTGTTGCTAAGCTATAAAACTCCTGGAGTGAGAGATAAAGCATTTGCATTTTTATGATGTGGCTCAACAAGGATTGCCCCCCCCCCCCCCTCATCTATGTTTAAAACTCGATCATAAGCACTCCTCGGTTGGCTGTGCTGAAATGAGATGTGGTGTCATTTCTAATTCTAATGATTTTTCCAGCATGTCCCGCTGCCATAGGTGATTTTGTTTCATGTTTTCCAAGTTGCTGAATCTAAATGAGGGATTGATTTTTATTTTTTTTTGGTGGGAACTTGCTCTAGGGACCCAACAAAGCCTGCGGTTGCTGATGTGTCAGCAAAAACAGACAGTAAAAAGGCCCAGATTGACGTGCAGGGCCAGTTTTCCCTAAAAACCCTGGTGGTTTAGCAACAAGCACACACTCCATTAAAACCAAGGTAAACAAGACAATTATGAAGTTGATCCAGGTTCTGCACAAGGCCTCCTGGAGTTTAGCTTTACGGTAGGGCATTCAACAAAAAGTCAACTTGTCGACAAGTCCATTTAATTAAGTATAGTCCGCTCACATCTGGACAACTCGAAAGTTGCCTCCCACCGGCGGGTGTTGACCTGCAAGGCGGCATGCTGCAGCATCTAAAACTGGTCTGTTATTGGCTTATTCTATGGGCCTAGTAGAGCTCACACTACAGTTGGCAAGAATAACTGGATTAGAGCTTCCTGATGTAACCAAGACCGTCGCTGCAGCAAGACGTATTGTTAGCAATATTTGGCCACACCCTGATTAATGTGATGACATCATAGAAAGAGGCATCGACTCAACTGCAAACTAGTCTCTAAACTAGTCTTGTTTCATGTTTTCCAAGTTGCTGAATCTAAATGAGGGATTGATTTTTATTTTTTTTTGGTGGGAACTTGCTCTAGGGACTCGACAAAGCCTGCGGTTGCTGATGTGTCAGCAAAAACAGACAGTAAAAAGGCCCAGATTGACGTGCGGGGCCAGTTTTCCCTAAAAACCCTGGTGGTTTAGCAACAAGCACACACTCCATTAAAACCAAGGTAAACAAGACAATTATGAAGTTGATCCAGGTTCTGCACAAGGCCTCCTGGAGTTTAGCTTTACGGTAGGGCATTCAACAAAAAGTCAACTTGTCGACAAGTCCATTTAATTAAGTATAGTCCACTCACATCTGGACAACTCGAAAGTTGCCTCCCACCGGCGGGTGTTGACCTGCAAGGCGGCATGCTGCAGCATCTAAAACTGGTCAGTTATTGGCTTATTCTATGGGCCTAGTAGAGCTCACACTACAGTTGGCAAGAATAACTGGATTAGAGCTTCCTGATGTAACCAAGACCGTCGCTGCAGCAAGACGTATTGTTAGCAATATTTGGCCACACCCTGATTAATGTGATGACGTCATAGAAAGAGGCATCGACTCAACTGTCAACTAGTCGTCTGGACTAGTTTACGTTGAACCTCTTTCCTCCGGTCCTAGGAAAACAGATATCAGCTCTCAGGTTGTTGGCTTTGAGTGAGATCTCGATCAACCGAGGTGATGTTTGGATTTAATGCAGCTACATTTCTGTCATTCCAAAAATATTAAAAACAATCCACTGGACTTTGTTTCCAAGTTTGAAGATGTTTCGCTTCCCATCTAGGAAGATTTTTCAGGAATAGAGTTGAGTTCGAGGTTTTTTGCAGTAGCCCATTAAAATCTTGTTTTTATTTGAAAACATGCAAATTGAAATGGACAAACAAGTCCAACCCTCTGGACTTTTGTTAGTCTTACACCTGTCTATGTCTCTGAAAGGGGGTCGTTAAAGGAAATTGTTGGAGTGGCGAGGGATTGTTGTAGGCGAGGTCTTCTATTCCCCTGTTAAGGGGGAACATAAGTAAAGGTGGGGGTTGCGATAATAGTGGGAGGGGATCAACTCAATAGCTGCATTGTAGGTTTTTGGAAGCTGAAATCTGAGTCCAGCCCCTCTTTTTAAGGTTGGTTTTTCTTTCTTAACATAGATGGCTTCCTTCATGCCCCTGTCAAACCATCTCTTTTCTTAGTCCAAAATGAAAATTTCTGTCTAAAAACTTCTTAAAAGTTTCTTTTTGGTTTACAATGAAGGCTGTTCCAATCTTTTCTCTTTTTTCCCTCAATTCCTGCCTCCCATTAAGACTCGTTTAAAATCAGCCGATAAATGTTTTCTTCTCTTCAATAATGTGAAGGATGCATCCTGCATCCTTTGTGGCCGCCCATTTCCCATGATTCATTGCAGGTCAAAGCAGATTGGTTAAACTTGGAGAGCAATGTCATGCTATGATGGGAAAAGTAAATAAAAAATGTTATATTACACTTTCTACGATTCAAAAACTGATCTAAAATAAGTGAATTTTTTTTTAATAGGTGTATTTTCCCTCAATTGAAGGAGGTAAATAACATGAGTTGTTGATGAAATGAGGATTTATGCACTTAAAAATGATAATTAAATAAAATAAACCTGATATGGAGTTTTTTTTTTCTTAAAAACACTTATTTCTAGAAAGATTGACTAAATTAGATTATATCTAAGTTTTGCAGTGTGTACATTTTCATGTCTCAGGAAAAAAGTGATCAGATCTTTGGTTTTTCATAAAATCTTGACCAACCAAGCAGGTCTTTAGTTTTAACAAAGCCAAAATTTTGTCTAAAAACATCTTAAAAGTTCATTTTGGGTTTGTAGACAGAATATGTCGCCATACTGTTATAAAGACCTTTTTAAATGAACATGTTCTTCTCTTTTAACATTCGAACATCTTGAGCGTCCTTCGCGGTCCACCCATTTCCCATGATTCATTGTGGGCCAAAGCAGATTGGTCAAGTTTGGTGAGCAATGGAGGGGTACAAGGACAAAGTTGGAATTGATAATGATATATGACCCCAAAAACTAATCAAACGATAAGTGAAAATGTCCTAAAATAAGCTATTTGCCCTTAAATAAAGTAGTTAAGTAAGATGATCTTTCAATGGAAGGAGAACCTCTGCCCTTAGAATAAGATAATTAGACATTTTCCACCTGAACATGGAGTTCTTTTTTCTTGCTTTGCTTTAAAGATGAATAATCTTTTTGTCTTAAATGATGAAAAATGCTCCTATACTCAGAAAAACTAACTTATCCAAAGATCTTTGCAATTAAACAAGGTTTTAAGATGTCTTTAGATGAGAATGTAGCTTTATAACTCAAAGATCTACTTGGTTTGTTTGGATTTCACTAAAGAACTAATAATCCATTTCCTAAGCGCTTATCATGATCTAAAATATGGACACAGCAAATTTTTCTAAATTTTAAAACGTATGGCATTTTGGTAATACACAGAGGTGGATATAGTACACAGTCAGGGGCGGATTTAGGGAATTCGGGGCCCTAGGCAAAGACAGGCAGGGGGCCCTTGAGAAGACGACACATAAAACAGATCCATTCTACAGATAGAGAAATGTTAATAGAATAGACATCCATTATCTGTTCTAGGTTTTGTCCCTTTTCTTGTTTTCCTCTATGTTTTGTACTCAGCTGACTTTTCATGCTGTCTCTAAAGGAATGAAAGATTTTTTCCAAGCACTAAGCTCACTTAGCTGATTGCTCCTTCCTGTGTTTCCAAAAAGGCCAAAGTAAATAACCCAGTCCTTCTTTTCACTGTAGACAAGCCATGATCTGCTTCTCTGTTCTCCATTTTTCATTTGGATGAAATAATAGCTGCATGAATCATGACAGCAGACAAGATAGAGGAGAGCAGGAGGCGGGGTTACCAATCTACTCGCTCTGGAGAGCAGAGTTCGCTGCTTTTAGATGTTGTCTCAAAAGTCTTCAGTAGCAGAAAAAAGTCGCTAGATTTGGTGCTAGGCGCTTTTTTTGTGATGTCTGATTGGACCCTTCTGAACATGTGCAGCAATTGGATCAAAAAAGATAATTAATCTGCACAAATAATGAATAGTTGTTTTAACCATACATGTAATCAGAGTTTCATGGGGCCCCCAGAAACTTGGGGCCCTAGGCAACTGCCTAGT